GTGGCGAGGAGAATGGGACTCTCCCGGGCCTCCAGGGACAGACCCTGCAGACGCCAAGGAAGTCTGCAGAACGGCCCGCAAGGCTCTGCACTGTTAGTTTTCTCTCCAAGTCAGAGCTCAATGCAGACACTCCTTAGGATGGGGTCCGGCCCGGGGCCCGGGGACATAGGGACCAGGGCTCTGTGGGGTCACATCACCTCCTGGGTAAAAGCAGGGAGGAAAGGGCTCCGTGCGCGGTTGAGAGCTGAGGCCGCGTGCGGCTGTCCCTCCGGGGAGAGGGAGTGGGAACGGGGCCTCGCGGCTGCCCTCTGCTGACCCCCTTGGGTCTGACAGCCGCATCCGAAGGTGCCACTGGACGCCCATCCTTGCTTTATATGTGGCTCAACATTTTAGAGACAAACACTTAAAATGGAGTGTGACCCTTCCCTGAGCCAGGCAGCTTACAGAAACTGGGATTGCTTTCAATTCCAGGTTTATTTTAGATTTGGCTATAAAATAAGGTCTTTGACATTTTTACCTAAACCAGCATCCGCTAAGTAGCTCTGCGTCCTTCGTGTTTGTACAGGACCGCGATGACAGGAACGACAGATGGGGCGCACAGGTCAGGGAAGACCCAGGCCTTTTCATCCAATACCGGGATGCTTCGCGCTCCAAACACAGGTTCCCGTCCGGGCCCGCGCTGCTGAAAGGAGCTGCGGCCGGCAGGGCCTAGGGCGGTCTGCGTGCCTGCGTCCTCAGCGCGCGTCCCGCTGCACCGTCCTCAGAGGGGTCCGTCTGTCAAGCCCTTTGAAAGATCAGCCTACGTCGTCCTACTTGTCTGGGAATTCTTTCTGCCTGGGGTACAGATCGGCGTCATGGGCGCCAGCACGAGCCCTGCGCTCGCGGGCTTCCCATGCTGAGTGCTCGCTACGCCTGCTCACCGCGGGAAGGTGCACAGGATGGGGATCCAGCAAATGCTGGCTGAGTGAGTGAGTGAGATTCCAGTTCCTCCCTGGCTACCTCTGCATGGTCATGGCTTTGTCTCTTTTTTATGCAGCCTGCCTTCGGCTCCCTGGGAAACCATGTCTTTGCCTCAAAAGCAGACCCTAAAAAGAAGAAGGCTCCGACCGTCCCACCCAGTTTCTACAGGGCTCTTTCTTCTCTCCTGCTTCCCCTCTCCTGCTGCGTGCACCTTGCTCTCGCGCATCAAAGATCAAAGATTCCACTCGGTCTCCACGTCCCCAGCAAAGCCAGAACGAGGGTGGGGCACGGCAGGCGCTGTAGGCACAAATATTAAAGAGGCCCTCAAGCTCGGGGCCGTGGGTGCAGGCGTGAGAGTGTCATCTCAGGGGAGGTCAGGTACCCCACTTTCACACACGCAGGCACTGCCTCTGCTGCCCGAGCTGACTGATGGGGGGGCGGGGTTTGTGCACGGACTGCCCCACCCAGGGCAGCCTCTGGGCCCAGCCCGTGCCTGGTAGCATGGTGTCAGCGGACAGATCATGCAGGTAGGTGGTCCACTCTACACAAACCGAGGAGGTGAAGGTAGACATAAAGATGGGGCTTAGAAGGCGCCGGGGTGGCTCAGTCGTTAAGCGTCTGCCTTCGGCTCGGGTCATGATCCCTGAGTCCTGGGATCGAGCCCCGCATCGGGCTCCCTGCTCAGCGAGGAGCCTGCTTCTCCCTCTCCCACTCCCCCTGCTTGTGTTCCCTCTCTCGCTGTGTCTCTCTCTGTCAAATAAATAAATAAAATCTTTAAAAAAAAAAAAAAAGATGGGGCTTAGATGGGGTTGTACCTGGCCTCTCAGCCCGCAGCCCACGCCACCCTTCAGAGTTGCCCCCTTCCCTCCCAGAAAGTCCGCTGAACACCCCTCCTTCCTATCTGGAGCTCCTTCCTTTCTGGAGCTCCCCCCACTTTCCTTCTCTCCCCCAAACACCTTCCCACTTTTTTCTCTCCTCCGTCTCTCCTCTCTTCTGGTGTGGCCCTATTCTGTCCCCAGGCCAGTCCAAGAATCGAGGACAAGTGTGAGTGGGCAGGACACCCAGATTCCACTGGCCCCGAATGGGTCTGGGGCAGCCTGCGTGGCCACCGGGGACACCCGCCCCCCCCACCCCTGCCCGCAGGGGAGGTGGGCTAGGGGAGAGGGGGAGAGGTGCGGATGGAGCTGCAGCCAGCCCCGAGCCACAGCCACTCCCTGGCTCCCAGGAGGTTCCTGCAGCCCCTCTGCTCTCTTAATTAAGGAATGTGGGCGTGGTGCCTTTGAACTCCCAGCCCAGTGACTCCAGCACACTGTCCCGTGCAGGCTAATTAGCCTGGTCTGAACCAGTGGTCAGCAGTGGGGGGAGCCTGCCTCTACAGACTTAACCCATCCGGAGCTGCCCCCGTTTGTCTCTCTCCAGTTGCCACACAGCCTGGAGTTCCTCCCTCTGGGGAGGTGGGACATCTGCTGACCCTCACCAACCTCCTCCTCCCCCTTCCTCAGCTTCCCTGAAATTCCCCTCTAGCAAAAGGGCATGGGGGGCGGGGTGGGGAGCCTGGGAAGAGGGCAACCCGTTCCCGCTTGGATGGACCCCTACGTAGGTCCAGTCTGCTAAGAGGGAGCGTGACTGCCCACAGTCTGCTCTATGGGAATTCCGAGTCTCTATCCCCCACGTTCCCGCAAGGGCCCAGCTCCTGCATCCCACACCCTCCCGGTCCCACACTGTCCACCTCTAGGCGGGCTTGGAGGGCTCCCCCGCTTGGGAAGCCTGTCCTTGGCTATAGGCAGGATGCAGACGTGTAGGGGCCAGTCTGGGACAGATGGAGGGGGCTGTTCACACCCGACCCCCCTTGCTCTGCGTTGACCTGCTCTCCTCTCTTCCCTCTCTGGCCACTTAGTAGCAAAGGTTAAGATTTTTTTTGAATGCTGACTATGCGCCAGACCCCACCCTAAATAAACCCTTACACGCACCGCTCTTGCCTCACTGACTGTAATTATCGGGTTACACATCCCGTCTCCTCACCCAAACTGCAGCCTCCTTGAGGGCAGGGCCAAGCCTTTCATCTCTGTGTTCCCAGCCCCTGGCACATAAGTAGATGCTCAATAAACCCCTGATGCAAGAAGGACGGAACTCACAGCGGAGTCATAAATGAGTCCCCTCCCTTGGCCTCTCTGCCGTAAGGCCAGGTGGCTCCCAAGTTCTGTCCCCTGACTCTGCTCTGTCCCTTCCTCTCTACTCTGGATATTTCCTTCCTATTCCAGTCAGGACCATCCCAACAGCTGCTACCCAGGCTTTCCTGCCTCTTCTTTCTCTGCCAACCTGCCCCACACGCTGTCCTTCCACCAACCAGCTACCCTGGGCTTAGGACGGGCCACAACCCTCCCTCCGAGCAGACCTTCTCAGAGCCTTCCCTCGGCCTACCAGCTGCAGATCACCTGGAGCAGAGTGCTGGTCAAACTAGATTCCCGGGTCCTGTCCCAGCCCCACTGAACCAGAGTTTCCAAGGCTTTGAGTCCAGCAAGGCCAAGAACTGCTGCCCCCCAGAACAAAAGCCTAATCCCTAAGCCAGTGTTCAAGGCCTCTATGATCTGACCCTCAAACTCCCTTTCCATTCCTACCACTGCAGCCCTAACAGGCTCCTCCCCTTGCTCCTTCATCATCCCGGGAGCCGACCTGGGACCCCCCCAACCCCATCTGGCTCTACCCATTTGGCTCTACTTCATGCTCAGAGCCTGCCCCCAGCCTCTGGCTTTCCCCTTTTCTCTGCCTATCCAAATCATGCCTACCATCAAGGTGCAGCTCAAAGCCCACTTTTAGGGAAGTGGCCCCACCCACATCCACAGATGTGGATCCCCATACTCTCTGCAGCAAGAAGGCCCCGCTGCCCATCGCACAGAGCTCTGCCTGTCTGTAGTGGACCTTCGTTCTGGGCATTTCCTGTTTCTACACTTTGGCTGCAAGCCACTGGAGGGCAGGAACCCTGTCCCAGAACTCTCCTGCTCTCCTGCCGCCATGCCTGCCCCACGCTTGGCCGAGTCCAAAGCTGAGGTCAGGAGTTCTGCGGGATGAGAAACCATGAGCCCGGCGTGGCTCTCGGGGGTTCACTTCATCTTCCCGCAGGGCCTCCCCTGACTCAAGAACTCGTGTAACTGGAAGTGAGAAGAGACTCGGGATGAGGAGGGGCAGCACTGGCAAAGTGGCCCAGGCTCCCCGGGGCGAGGCTCCAGTCCCAGCTCTCACTCGTGACCTCTGCAAGGTGCTAACCTTGCTCTGGGTTCAAATCAGTAAGACCCTCGCAGAGAAGAGCTGTGAGCACGTCTAGAATTCATGCACTCATTTACAAATGTTTAGGAGACACCCACGGTGTGCCGAGCACCAAGGGGAGCACAGAAACGAGTAGGTGAAGACCTTGCCGGCAACCAGTCCGTGGAGACGAGAAAACCGTGGCAAGACAGTGTGCTGAGGGCAGAGAGCCCACCGGCACTGGGCTTGGGACGGCTTGAGGGGGAGCCGGCCGGCTGTAGCGCGCCCAGTCCGGAGGGCCGATTGGAGCAGCGTGCCTGCCGCCCAGCGCGTGGGGGTGCAGGGGGTGCTCCCCGGAGGGGCAGTCCTGCTTGGCATGGCCAGAGAGCGGACTGGGGAGGCCAGCTCGGACCAGCAGACTGGAGTCGAACTTAGGAGTGCCTTGTACACCAAGCTGAGCGTTTTGTCTCTTTTTCGAGGGCAGCAGGAGGTGCGGAAGAATTTTAGAGAAGCAACAAAGGGAATTGCAGTCTAGAGGGTTCTCCGTGGTTACAGCAGGAAGGGCAGCCAGCCGTGGGGCGGTGGGATACGGGGAAGGCTGGCCGGTCCAACCAGAGGATGTGGGCTTGTGCTGGAGCACCTGCCTCTGGCGGATGGCATTGGCCCACCACGGGCACGAGAAAGAGGCTGACTTACAAGAATCCACTCCTGACAAAGCCCAGCCAGGCTGGGAGCCAACTTCCACTTTACTCTGGATATTTTCACTTTCGGGGCATCTTGTTCTGAGTCAAGATTCCTCCTTCTGAACATGGGACTTTCCAGAAGTACCACAGCCTCCTCCCGTGTATCAACTTGCCCCCAGATGTTCTGGATTTGGGTTGTTGAAGGAGTCTGCTGGCCTCTCTGGAGAGCGATGGGCATGTGGTCCCTGTGGAGCCTGCTTCTCTGGGAAGGTAAGGGGGGCCGGTGTGTGGCCCGTCCTCAGAGAGCTGGAGGTCCCTCTGCAGGGCCCCTCGCTCGCCAGCCACCTGGGCAGGGGCCCGCATCCCAAGGGAGAACCCAGGGGCTGAGGAGGGACAGGGAAGACTGAAGCAAGTTCTCAGGCAACCTTGAAAGCAGGACAGAGCCAAGCTCTGCGGGGTCCTTGGGAGGAAGGAGGTGGTAGCCGTAGCAGCGTCCCTGTCTATGACACACGACCTGTTCCATGGCCCCGGGCAGTTACAAAGGCTGGTGGTACCCATGGTTTGGAAAAACAGGGTTGTGAGAAGGGTGAGGGAATTCTAGTACAATCTGGGGAGAAGGAGGGCAGGGCGAGCAGGCTCGTACAAGGAAGGAGGCCTTTCCATCAGCCTGGGGGAAGCCGAGGCTGCTCCCTGCAGGTGTGTGTAAGGGAGGGGGATGTTGGGGAGGGTGGAGAGCGGGGAGCAAGCCAAACAGAGCACATGGACTTGGCATGTGGGAAGGGTGTGCTGTGGGAAGGGCGACACTTCCCTCCGTGGTGAGCAGGCAGCCCACATGCCAGGGGTCAGCCCTGCAAGGCCAGGGGGCAGGAGTCAGGGCCTGGCAAAGACGAAGCCACCTAGGTTCCCACCAGGAACTCAGAGGGACTTGGAGATGACTTTATCCAGTGTGCCCCTCCTGCGCTCCTGGCCTCAAGGGCTCCAAAGGCCTTGAGGATTCTAACCTGTCTAAACACGGGCAGGAAATCCCTCCCAAAGAAAAAGGAATCTGTGTGGTGCACAAATCTTTCGAGTCCCTGGACGTGGAAGGCAAAAAGGAACTTTTCTGAAGGCCCCTTAATGGTAAACCAGATGAGTACCACCGATTGGGTGCACCCTCTTGTTTTGGGGGTAAGACCACGGACGGGACCAGGGTGCTGTGCTGAAGTCACAGCATGGATCTGCAGCTGAGCTGGGGCAGGAGAGACCCGAGGGGCCTTGACTGGCATCCAGCGCCATCCTCTGTGTAGGCTGGGCCTCCACCCGCAGTAGCCTCTGCAGCAAGGCCTGATGATTAGGGCTGCAGAAGGCAGTGAGATGGGCAGGGGGCTGGCTGAGTGAGCCCCCCTCCCAGAACAGGGCTCGTCAAGCCCACTCCCGGCGCTCGGGCATGTCCCACACGGGCTATGCTGCTCTGTGTCCCTGAGCCCCACAGTGCCAGGTGCCAGGGGAGTCCTCGGGGCCTCCTTTCACTCAGTACAATGCGCTGAGCCTCTCCTCCATGCTCCTCCTAAATATAGCATGGGCGTGGGGGTACGAAGAACACAAGAGGAACTTGTGGTCTCGCGTGGCAGCCCCTGACTCATCCCCGGGCCATCCCGGCCGAGGAACAAAGCACCCCAGGCTGCTGGGCCACACGGAGAAACAGTGCGGACACCGCCCGCCCCCCGACAGAGGGGGAGGTCAGGGGAGGCAGTAGGTGTCCAAGGATGAGCAGCAATTAGCCAGCAAAGGAGTCAGGGCTCCCTCCTGCTAAGGTACCGCCCACAGCCCTCAAACTCAGCATCTCCCCACCTCCCAGCCTGCTTCTCCCCCGGCTCCTCGGGATCACGGAGAATGGCACTCTGTGGGTCCCTGGTACCCTCAACGCCCTTCGCCTTCACTCCCCAGACTGCATCTCGGACCGACCCCACTGATTACACACCGGAGTCGCTCTCAACTCCTCCTTCTTCCCCCCCTCACTCTGCAGGCCTGGGCCCTGCCCACTCCAGTGCATCCCCCACACCCCTGGGGCACGTCTTTCTAACCAGCATCTCATCCTCTTACTCTCTTACTGAACCCTGTGCGAGGCCTCCCAGAGCTCTAAGGGTAAAGCCCATGCGTGCTTTCAGGCGGCAGGACCAGGCTCCCACCAGCTCCACAGTACAGTTTCTTACTCTCCTGTAGAGAGCGACTTTCAGTTCCGAGAACCACGAGAACCACGCGCTCCCGCCCGCCCCCCTGGCCTCCGAACTCGAACGCCGTGTTCCCTCGCCCCTGCCACTTCCCCAGCCCTGCTCCACACAGCCCTCCTCCACCCGGCCTGGCCGATCCCCACTCTCCTTCTGCTCTCAGCTTAACCATTTCTGCCCGGATCCTCCCAAGGCCATCACCCTACCTGTGTTCTCCCAGGGTATCTTTTTCACCATCGTGGCACTTCACTTAACATGCTTTAATCACTTGCTTAGAGTCGGACTTCCTCTGTGAGCTCCCGAGCGCAGAGACAGGATTCTCTCCCTTAGGCTTTTATTCCCAGCCCCCCGCACAGTGCACCTTGCTCAGCGTGGGTGGAGGGAGTGTGGGGAGAGGGGCCCCAGCGCGCTTCGCAGCAGCTTAGCTGGATGCGTAAGCGGTGGCGGGAGATGGGTGAGGAGCTTGGGGCCGGCAGTGATGGGGTTCTCTTCTTGCAGCACTGCTTCCCCCTGGAGCCTCCAGCGCCCAAGTGCACGGCCAGGTCGGGGGCTCTGTGCTGCTGGTGGCAGAGCGCCCGGCCGGCTTCCAAGTCCGAGAGGCCATCTGGAGATCTCTCTGGCCTTCGGAGGAGCTCCTGGCCACGTTTTTCCGGGGCTCCACAGAGACTCTGTACCGCTCCCGCTTCCTGGGCCGAGCCCAGCTCCACAGCAACCTCAGCCTGGAGCTCCAGCCTCTGGAGTCTGGAGACAGCGGCAACTTCTCTGTGCTGCTGGTGGACACGGGCGGTCGGGCCCGGACCCAGCTCCTGCAGCTCAAGGTGTACGGTGAGTGCGCCCCACACCGGCTCTCCGGCTGCCCACAAAGCGCTGGAAAGGGGTCCTGTGTCCCGGGAGCTGGGGAGGACAGGGTTCCAGAGACCTCTGGCCTCTGACCTCGCAGCTGATTCGGGACACATCTGAGAAAGCTCCCCAGGTGCTCCCGGGCAGGTGCGCTCCTGTGTGAGGCAGCCCGGCTTTGCCGCCCCACAGTCCTTGCCTGAACTCCAGCGGGGTCTTTTCTGGGCTCGATGGCCTTGGACACAATGCGAAGCCTCCCTAGCACTCACCTTTCTCATTTATGAAATGGGCATCGTCAGTAATATTACACGTAGCTGCCCACAGAGGCAAGATACACTGCGTTTGGGAAAGCATCAGAGACAGAGGTCTGGCCTACACTCCAAAATTCTAAGATTATAAGATGTGCCATTATTTGACAAAACATTAACAAGGAAAAAAATATTGCCAATCAAACTAGGACACAATTTTTTTTATTAAAAATTGAAGTATAGGGGCACCTGGGTGGCTCAGTCGTTAAGCATCTGCCTTCGGCTCGGTTCATGATCTCAGGGTCCTGGGATCGAGCCCCGCATCGGGCTCCCTGCTCGGCGGGAGGCCTGCTTCTCCCTCTCCCACTCCCCCTGCTTGTGTTCCCTCTCTCGCTGTGTCTCTCTGTGTCAAATAAAAAAAAAAAATCTTAAAAATTGAAGTATAATTGAAGTATGGAATGTGGATTTCATATTGTTTTAAAGAGTTCTTTTAAACGTATTTAGAGATTTTTAACTATATGACATTCATGGGTTCTCTCAATTATTCATTGTTGCAAAACAAACCACCCCAAAACTTACTGCCCGAAAACAGCCATTTTAATTCTCACCACCTGCGGGGTGGTGGGGCTCAGCTGGGCAGGTCTTCTGCTCCCCGTGGTTTGGCAGGATCATTCACACAGCCCCACTCGGCACCTCAGCTGGGGCGGCTGGCTTCACTGGGCACTGGCCCTTCTTTCCAGTAACTTCACCTCCACCCCCTCCAGTCACCTCCTCCACCTTCACCTCCACCACCAGCTCCACCTCCTCCACCATCACCTCCTCAACCATTGTTGCCTCCACAATCACCTCTACCACCATCATCACCTCTATCTCCACCTCTACTGCCTCCCCCTCCACCATATTTCTGCTGATCTAGGAAAAAAAATAGCCTTTTAGCTCTCGTTCATCTGCCTAATGTCTTGGAAAAAGCATGTGAGGTACCTCAAATCACTATTTCAGTAAAACCTCAGAAGTTTGATAGGGCAGTGGGGAGAAAAAGGTCCAATGTTAAGAATGAAAAGTAGGAGTGACAGCTGGGAAGAGGAAGACAGTGAGGGAGAGAAAGGCAATAAATTGGGAAGGGGAGGGGACCTCCCACCACCACCACCAACCCAGGGACAGCCAGTCTGTGAGCCATTCGGGGCTCCAGTGCACCATTAGCCGTGTGTCCTGGATGCACGCAGCCCTGAACCGAGTTGCACAGCTTGGCAGGCAGAGTGCTGGCTGGATTTCAGCAGCCCTACCCTCACTGGTTGTCCCCTTAGCCCAGGGCCCTTGCACAGTGAATAACCTACACAACCATACAGGCAGCCCTGGAGCCTCTTCCTATTCTGAGTCTCAGCTGCTGCACATGTGAAATGAGGACATTGAAAGTGATAATGCACGCAGCACCCACACCACTAAGCTCTAAAATGCCTTGTTCTCAGCATCTGAATTACAGATTTTAAGGAAATTGCTGTTTTATTGCTTCCAAATACATAGCATGATTAGAACTAATTGCACAACGCTGCCAAGCAGCCGTCCTTGGGAGCTCTGCTTTGACAATAGATGAGAATGATTTGAATTAGCAGATCAGTTACTAGAAATGTCAATGGGTGTTTCTACTGTGCCTGATAGTGTTTGAAAGCAGCTTGTCCTCTTAAGTAGCGTAAATATCCGCCCCACATCCACACACGGTAGTCTTTGTTTATACTATTAGTGTGACCAGCAAGTCTTTCCTTTTCCATACCACAAATCCCACCAGACTGAGCTGGCATTAATGAGGTTTTAGTCTGCTTGACTCTGGAATGCTGTCAGAGACAGAGCCCTCCCGTTGTCACCAGAATGCTCTCCTGCTGGTCCCCATTGCCACAGAGACTCGGGATTGACTCATCCACCTCTACAAGAAAGGAGAGCCACGGCCTGGGATGCCGGGACTCCACTGTGTTCACCGGTCCAAGTGGCTGAGCACCTAGAGAGCTAGGTTATGAAGATAACAGAACCCCCACCCCCTGGTCTCCACGGGAGCTTGGACCCTTGTCATTATTTCCTTAATTATTCAGTCACTTGTCAGTACCTGTCTTCACCAAACTATAAACTCTAATAGTCCAGAATGTGTTGGTTTTCTTGCCTGATTTAATAGGTGCCTATCCCCTGTCTGACTGATATGTCATGAGGACAGTGCTATGACAAAGGACAGACAGGACGAGTCTTCAGAGCCTACAGTATCAGGGAAGGCTTCATAATCAGAACAGTAAGCAATGTGCTCAAACTGGGTCTTGAAGGGTTGGTAGGAGTTCCCCAGGAGGAAGAGAAGAGAAAGGCAGACATGCACAGCTGGGCCATACGAAAGCATGCAGGATGTGGAAAAGCATGACATGCTTGGGAGAACCGGAAATTAATGAGGGTAGGTGAGTAAGACCAGCAGGAGGTTACAACTACAGAGGTTGACACCAACTATTTCATGAAGGATTTTGAATACCAGACTAAGGAATTCAGCTTCTGTCCTGTGGGCAATGGGAAACCAGACTAGGTTCTGGAGCAAGAGTGGGCTGGTCAGAGGTGACCTCTAACCCTGCATGGATCCCAGGGCTGGCACGGTATGCCCTGCCCAGCATCACTATAACCCATGCCCGCTCTACTGTTCTTGCCTAGATGCAGTGCCCAGACCCGTGGTACAAGTATTCATCGCTGTATCAGGGGACGCTCAGCCACCCAAGACCTGCCAGGTGCTCCTGTCCTGTCGGGCCCCCAACATCAGTGACATAACCTATAGCTGGCGACGGGAGGGGACCATTGACTTTGGTATTGAACCAAGCGGCCTGTTCACGGATGGACAGGTGCTGAGGGTTTCACTGGGACCAGGAGACAAGAGTGTGGCGTATTCCTGCATTGTCTCTAATCCCGTCAGCTGGGACTTGGCCACCGTCACCCCTTGGGAGAGCTGCCATCGCAAGGCAGGTATGCCAAGGGCCAGGGGTCAGTGGTTGAGGGATTGCTAAGCATCAAACCCCCCTCTGACTCTGCCGCCTGCATGTCCAGCCCCAGGAAAGTCCTCCTACAAAGATGTGCTGCTGGTGGTGGTCCCCATCTCCCTGCTCCTGACCCTGGCTGCTCTCCTCTCTGCCTGGCACTACTACTGCTCAGGTAGGAGTCCTGCAGGTGTCACAGGTGTGTGGAGGAGGGGGGTCTCCTGCGGAGGAGAGCAGGGTTGGACCTCCTCTCTTTTAGGCCCCGATGGTCTGCCCTCCTTACCTCTGCCATCTCATCTCCTGACTCATACTCTGGTCTCCGATCAGACTGAACCATGTGAAGCTTCATTTGCAGTTCTTCAAACGAACTCTTGTCTTACATAACTCTTCAGGCCTTTGCACGTGGGCCACTCTCCCTATCTGGACCACACTTCCCTTGGTTTCCCACCCAGTCCCCCTTCTTCATGTGACTATCTCCTCCACAGTCTCCCAGGTACACCTGCTCCAGGAAGCCTTGCTGATCTCCTCCCCTGGCCTGGGTAGGGTGGGTATACTTCCTTTAATCTCCATTGTTCTCCTAGTCACAGCGCTCACTGCACCTACTCTCCCACTGAATTCTCGGCCCCTTAAAGGCAAAGACTGCCTTACCGCTGGGCATCTAGCAAGGGTTCCTGGAACAGCACTGGTATGGATAAAGGTTTGCCGAGTGGAAGTCTAGATGAATCCCAACCCCTTCTTGCCTAGCATTCCTAGGAAATGCTCTCTGAGGGAAGCACCTTTCTCGCTAGGGGCTGATAAGGCCTCCTTCTCAAGGAGGAGAGAGCAGGAGAAACTCAGAGGTGTGGCTGGATTCTGGGCCATCCCTCTAGCTCAGCCCCTGCTTCGATGCCAGGATGCCCTGCCCCTGATAGAAACACCCCACAGACCTGGGCTTTGTGGGGATGTCCACCCCAGGCTTTCTGGGATGGCTTCAGGTCTAGCCAAGGATGCTCAGATTCCAAACATCAGAGGAGTAACCTTTCTGATCTCTTTGCCAGGGAAAAAGCAGAAGGACATCTGTATTGACAGAGTGGCTCCTGAGACAGAGAACCCCCTTGTGTAGGGTGTGCCATGGAGGAGGATATAAACTGCTGCCTGGACCATCAGGAAGCCCACTGCCCAAGCACATGATGCTCTGGAGCATAGTTGGTGTCTGGAAGCCACCACGGCCCCCGTACTTCCCATGAGACTCCTGTCCCACCTCCAGGAGCAGCCTAGACAGCTGTTGTGCTGGGAGCCGCCAGACAGAAAACACTAGCACAGTCTTCCACATCCCCCCTCCCCCGCTCCTGGCTCTGCTTGGGGCAAGATAACAGACCATCCCCTCAAAGATGCTGGAAGTTCTCCAGGACCCACAGGGACTTTGATGGTCCAGGGCATTCACCAACCCCACCACCCCCCACCACTGCTCATGAAGTATTGTTGTAGACAGAATCTGTCTCCTCCAAGTCCATTGGTTGAAGTCCTAACCCCCAATATCTCAGAATATGACTGTATTTGGAAAAAGGACTTCAAAGAGAAAATTAAAATTACATGAGGTCATTGGGATGGGCCCTAATCCCATATGACTCGTGTCCTTATAAAAGAGGGAGAGACACCAGGGATTCACCCACAGAGAAAAGGTCATGGAAGGACACAGAGAGAAAGAAGTCATCTACAAGCCAAGGAGAGAGGCCTCAGAAGAAACTAAACCTGCTGACACCTTGGTCTTGTGCTTTTAGCATCCAAGACTATGAGAAAATAAATTTCTCTTGTTTAAGCCACTCATTCTCTGGTGTCTTGTTATGGCAGCCCTAGCAGACCAATGCAAATATCAGCTAACTGGCACCAAAGGATTGCCTCCAGTCTGGGTCCCAGAATGTAAAAGACATTAGACATTTTAACTAACAGAGAAACTCTGAATCACCCACTTCCAGCTCTGGCCCCAGCCCAGCCCCTGTAGTTTGAGACCCTGATGTTTCCTGATGTCCGAGGCATTATCATAAGAAAAGATCTAGAAATAGATGAAGGTGAGAGATGGGGGACAGGGGATTCTCTTTCCAGCGTGAAGGACTGTCAGGTCATCTGAGTTCATGGCTGGCTGGGTCAAAACAGAGGGAGTGTGGTGGGGGAGAATGGAATGGGGAGGATCCGAGTGGTGGCCTTGGGCCACAACACGTGGGACCTTGTGGTCTTCAGAACACATGTGCCTGGGGTTAGGGTAGCCAGGAGCGCCCCTGTATGTTTGGGAGTCAGATTCTTCCCATGACTACTTTTACACCATTATTTCCAGTTGGCACATAACATAGACCAGAACCCTGTCCCTCTGTTTTCGCTTTTCTCTGTTTTCATTAAATTTTCCTTGAGCCTTTGTACCTGTCCTCTGGGCAAAGCAAGAGCTGATAGGACGTCGGGGTCAGGGGACATGATGTCAGAGAGAATGGACAGGGGGCATAGCAAAAGGCAAGGCTGAGACAGACATATTTATTTTCATCAGTAGGGATAGGAATACCCAGTGCCTTGTTTAAAAAAAAAAATTTTTTTTTTGCAGGGCACCTGGGTGGCTCAGTTGATTAAGCATCTGCCTTCAGCCCAGGTCATGATCCCAGGGTCCTGGGATCGAGCCCCGCATCAGGTTCCCTGCTCAGCGGGGAGTCTGCTTCTCCCTCTGCCCCTGCCCTCTGCTTGCGCTCATGCACGCGTTCTCTCTCTCTCTCAAATAATCTTTTTAAAAAATGGGAAAATCTTCCATTTTTGTTAAGAAGTGACATGTGTTTGGTTATTCAGCACTTGGTTAGTTGCTGGTCTTCAGGGCAAGCACCATCTCCTTCCAGATTTGACTCCATGGCTCCCCACATCTTTTCTGCATGCAGCACGAAAACTCAAGTGTCAAGAAGAGAATAACCCACACGGCAAAAAGTCTAGAGACCTTATCATACGAAAAATGATTAAAGAAACTGGTCATATTAAGCCTAGAACAAAAGACTCGGAAGGTCCCCCGTTGTTTGAAGGGCTGTCACGTAGCCAGATTGTGTAACTGAGGCCACTGGAGTATGGCCCTGAGAGGCAGACAATGACTCACATGAGTAATAGGATCTTAAAGCTGGAAGGAAATCTTGTGGATTCTCAGTTCAAGTTTTTCATTTCTCAGGTGGAAAGCCGAGGCCCAAAGAGATTGTTACTCCTTAGAATTACATAACTGGTCCATGGCAGAGGCAGAATTAGCTGGAGGTTTATCTCATCCGTCCAGTCCCGTCCCCTGCACCATTCCACCAGGGAGAACTTTCTGACAAACAGAGGAAGCCCGACATGAGGTGAGCTGTTTCAGTGAATGTGCTTAAGCTGAAACCATCTCAGAGCGGTATTACAGACTAGAGACTTTTCCTATTAGGTGGGAAGTTGCATTAGATCAGGAATGACAAATATGCAGTACACGTACACAGACTTCTGCCCTCCGGGACCGTGTCGGGCACGGAGAAATAATGATGACCCACTGAGTCCGCAGGCAGCATGACGCTCAAGTGACTCGGGCCGATTAATTGAGGTTGGGAGCCAAGACAAAACCTATTAGCCATTCCTGCCCTAGACGACCCGTAAGATCCTCCCCACATCACAAACGAATTATAAAGTAAGGACGGAAAGAATGAGTGGACCGTGGAATAAAAGAGGCCAATGAAAGGAGTCGACTCGTGTGTCAGAAACACGCCAGCTTCCTGCAAACGAGACTTCTTCAGCCTCCTTTCCTCTGCCCTTTCCTCAGTGTGCGGCTCAGGGATGCATCAGAGCTGAAAAGAAGGAGAGATCGGCAGAAAAGAGTAATACCACTGCTAGGGAAGCACAAAACAACAGGACTTGAGCCAAATAAGTCAATATCATACATTTGGCCGTTTAAACAATCCTGTTCTTCCGAATATCTAAGAATAATGTGAAAACCCTGGAATCAGAGTTCTTTGGATGCAAAGAACAGAAACCAGCTCTGGTTTTAACTAAAGCAAAAGAAGGAAATGTTTAGAAAGTTGTAGGTAGCTCAGTGTCTTCGTCAGGTCAGGCAGGTGTAAAAAAATACTGTAGTCCGGGTGGCTTCTAAACAACAGAAGTTGATCTCTCATGGTTCTGGAGGCTGGGAAGTCCCAGATCAAGGCGCCAGCAGATTTGGAGTCTGGTGAGAGCCGGCTTCTTGGTTCATGGATGGACGGCCAGCTTCCCGCTGTGTCCTCACGGGGCGGCAGGAGGGTGAGCGAGCTCTCTGGGGTCTCTTCTCTAAGGGCACTCCTCCCACTCACGAGGCTCCACCCTCAGGACCTCATCTCCTCAAAGGCGCCACCTCCAAATGCCCTCACTTTGGGAATTAGGTTTCAGTCTATTAATTTGGGGGGCAGGGGACAAAAACATTCAGTCTATAGCACTCTGAGAACCAAAGAAAACACTGATGAACTGGGCCTCAGAAGGGACAAAGCCAGGAGGCCCTGGGGATGCAGGTCTTGGGACAACCTCCTCAGGGCCACCATGGAATAAATCTGTTCTGTTTCTGTTCCCATGTGGCTCCCTGAAGATTAAAATTCCCAACAAACAGATAGAGCTTGATCAGCCTAACTGGGGTCAAGGATCCTCCCTCTAGGGGATGGAGAAGAGTTACATCTTGTCAGAAGGAGTATTGGTTTAACAAAATAAAGGATAAAAAAGCAGTTTGAACAGGAATCGGTAAGGAAGGAAATGCATTTCTTTGTTCATTCAGGAAGCACTGACTGCTCACCTGCTGATCCCCCAGTGCACCAGGCCCGACCGGGATGCAGGGAAGTCTGAATCGTGGCATCCGCACCCCTGCCCTCAAAGAGTTCACAGCCTAGTGGGGAAGCAACATGTCAACAACCATAATACGGCCCCCAGTGTGTCTCAAAGGCTTCTTCTGGCCTGTGAGAACTGTGTCCCCAAGGAGGGCCAGTCAGGTCCCCAAAGGAAGTGGAGAAAGGGACAGAAACTCTGGCTGGGAGCAAAGCTTCAGTGGGCAGGGATGGAAGAAGGTATGGCCGGTAGATTCTTGGGACAGGTGTCCCAGAGCAGCATCAGGGTTTGGGGTCACTGTGTTCCCAGGCTGGCAGGTTGTCCTTAGGCTCCCCTCCAGGTGGAACAGAAAAGGGACGGCAGTCGGGAGGAGACATAGAGCGCTCACCTATGACTCACGCAGGAGGGAGTCGAACACCGAAGGCCAGAGTTACCAGCTAGAGCCTCAGCCAACTCCGGGGAGCAGTCACTGGAGAGTCTTCTGGGGGTTGTGTGTGATGAGGACAGATAGAGCAGGATGTCTGTCGGTCCATTCTCTGTCCAGTTATTCCCAGAGGCCGTGAGCACAGAGAGTATCCCCCTTCCACCAAGGCAAGACGGCCGCTGCCCTGGGTCTGTACACAGGGCCTGCTGGGACTCTCCTCCACAGGCGATGGGCCAAGGCTGTGGCCACCTGGAGCTCACTCTTGCCCTTCTAGAACACGCTCCGGGAATCCAGAATCCTGGAATCCCCTGTCCAAACGGGAATCTGGGACTTGTACAAGCCCCTTTGCCGCGTTCGTCCTCCCAAAGATGGACCAAAGTGCCTGTATGTGCACCCATACGTCTGAGGGTAGCTAAGAGGGGGGCTTTGGCGGTCAGTGCGGAGCTCAGACATGGAGCTCATGCTCTCTCCTCTCTCTGTGTCTCACAGAGAGAGAACAGAGCGTGCGAGAGAGGACACGAGTAGTGGGGAGGGGCAGAGGGAGAAGCAGACTCCCCCCGCTGAGCAGAGAGGCTCGACCAGGACCCCGGGATCGTGACCTGAGCCGATGGCAGACGCTCAACCGCTCAACCGACTGAGCTTCCCAGGCGCCCCAATAAATAAAACCTTTAAAAAAGCCAAATACACACAACTTTTAATTAAAACTGTGTTAAGCTCTACGGAGGAGAAGAAGGGAAAACTGCAAGCAAGAATGACGAGGGGGAAAAGTGGTGCTGGCGCAGGGCAACACACGGGGTGTCTCTGAGCAAGGGCCTAGGCGGAGGCCCGCGGGGACAGGAGTCGCCGAGCAGAGTGGGGAGGCCTGGCGCGCTGAGGACCGGGCCGCCTGAGAGCCCCTCTGGAAAGCTCCTGGCTTAGAGGAGGGTCTGCAGGAAGGTCCCCCGCGGCCGGAGGGTGACCAGAAGGAGCTCGCTGGGAGGAGGCAAGGGCAGAGGTCAGCCCATGTGGGGTCTGGTAGGACACGGTAAGATTGAAAATTTAATTCTAACGTAAAAGGAGGCCACTGCAGAGTTGTAAGACGGGAAACGACAGGACCAGACTTGCATGTTTAAAAGCTCACTCGGGCAGCCTCACGGAGAACGTCTGGAGCAGGACAGCAGAAAGCTGAGCTTGGGCAGTGGCCCCAGGGACGTGGAGACAGAGACCTGGATAGCTCGGCTATGGGGAGGGTCAGGGAGGACACCCTCCCCACGGCTGCGGCATCCTGAGTCCTGCCTGGATCGCCCAGGTGGAGCCCCCAGTGCTGCTCCGGAGAGCCTTTCCACGCGAAGGGACAGCGTCATGCTCAGACACCGCAACCGTCCAGCACGGGCTAAGTCGCACCAGCCAGTTCAAGGCCATGAGGTGCTGAGGACATCAAGAGGACTTGCCTCAGGGTCAGGCTGGCTGGTGGAAGGAGAGTCTGGTGTGCCTTGGCCATGGTAGGGAGGGGGCAGCCACAAGCTGGAGTCGGGGTGAAGCAGGGAATATCTGGCTACACAGCGACTCCGGGCTGGAAATGTCCCGTTTCCTCTTGAG